CTCACCAATTGTGGCCTAATTAAATTATTTATCTGAAAAATATAAGGACTTGAAAAATGCCCTAGAATATGAAATCAATCCATAAATGTTGTAAATATTAAAACCTAATTAGTTAAACAATTTGTCTCAATTATTCGTTTCCGTCAGAAACCTTCAGTTAGTCAAAACTTCTTACAAGTAGTTTTACGCATACATAGTTTTGATAGAACAACTTAACAAATTTGTGTTCTACAATATATAATTTATTGCAAAATTAAATAATGATGAATGTCAAATATAACGTGATAAACCCCTAAGGGAAACATTCTCGGGCCCTCATACCATGGGTAAAATAAACTATTATCAAAGATTTAAAATTACAGTAGTTTCAATTTAGCAATTTCTCAAAATAATTAAAACAATAAAAAATAAATAAAGAAGAGATCCCCCATTTTCTTATTCCTTTTGACTTGTCGAAAAAGTGGAATCAAACCCTCCAATTTTGACTTTACCGTCACTTCACTATTTGCATTCGGTTGCAACCACTACTTGGATTAAGATTTAAAATTCAACAATCTTAACTCAAGCCATATAGCTTGATTTTTACATAGGATTATATCATTCACGCTTAAGTATATTCTCTTCAATTATAGTTGAAGAAACAATTTTTATGTTGAGATACTTCAATGGAATATCCATCGGTTAATACTCACTGAAGATGGTCAGAAGACTTCATAACTTGCTGTTGCAGGTTCGTCGGACATAGACATATTTTTCTTAAAGCATTTAGTCGTCCCATAATGATTTTCTTTCCTTATGTAAAGACTCCTCCTACGCACGAACGTATCTTACCTAAAATATGGAAGTTTTGCATGGTAAGAATAATACAATTCATGTTTGATATTATAAATAATTAAATTAAGAAAGTTTTAATTTATTAAAATAATCTTTCATCCTTTTAATTATTTGACAAATCAAACCAATTCAATAAGGTAAATATATATTTCTGTATATGCTGCTATATGGAAAGTAAAAATTATACCACGCTTAGGGCATGGAAACTCTAAAATTTGCAGTCATGAAATCTTTTTAACCTATATCACACAGTCGGTACTGACTAACTAGCTTACCTGTTTGGACTTCTCCAGTTGAACAAAGTCGTTCTAATTTAAGCAAGTCAATACATAAATAATAAGTAAAAATATAGAATATATTTTACTTACAAATGTGAATATTAATGTTTCTTCTTTGAGAAACAGACAGTTAGAATTTAAAAATGAATAAAAAAATTTCACTGTGAAGTCAATTTGATTACAAAGGATACAAATTTCTGAAAAGGTAATAATACCAATTTTCAAACGAAAAATTTGGAAAAGAGAAAGAGTTTTCTGGTAAATCTGGAAAGGGCAAGAATAACAAAAGAAGAAAAATAAGGTCAGAGGGAAAAAAAATTTAATATTTTTGTGGAAAAATGGGACACTTTATAAAAGATTGCTATAAAAGAATTTATGAGTTGAAAAATCCTAAAAAGTTAAAGATGGAGCTTTTATAGCTTATGAAGAAGCTATCATTTCAAATGGCAAGTCTATATGGCTACTCATTTTTCAATTAGAAATGTGTGGATTCTTGAATTTTGATTTCGAATGGGCAAGTCTATGCAGCTAAACATTTTTCAATGAAAAATGAGTGGATTCTATATTTTGGGTACATTTTTCTTATGTCTCCCTATAAAGAATACTCTTCAGAATTTAGGAAACAAATGAGATGATTTTTCTTGCAAAATAAAAGGAATTGATAAAATAGTTTTAAATCTGGAAAACAATAATATCCAAACTTTTGAAGTAGTGGGTATGTATATTTTATTTATTTTTTGTATAATTTCTTTTCTAGATGACGTTTGTTTCCCATTTTTGTAAAAATGAGAACGAAAAATATAGTTATTATGGACCTCACACAAGAGATAAAAATTCAAATTTGGTGGCTCAATGTAATGGGAAAGGAATTGTAAACAAACAGGTACTTAAAAAAAAAAAATTGTACATGAAATCGATCCTAAGTTCGAATAAAAAAGGAGAGCTTTTACAACTTTGAATTTCTTTTATCAAACAAATTTTCAAAATTTAATTTTTCAACTATATGTTTACAAATTTGTGAGTCCGTTACGTATCGAAAAAAATAACAAAAATTACATTTGAATTCGCATGCCGATGGGCTAGTGGGGCAAGATGAACTAAATCTTCTTACAAGTGGGACTTGATTCGATCCATCAACATCCCTACGTCTTATCTAATTTTCTATTATATTAATGCTTTATTTAAAAAAATTATAAATTATCAAACTTCATTTTCAACTAATATTGGTATCACACAATCATTCTTTTCAATGAATTTATAAATTACACTATATATATGGCTTGTTTGATACAGATTTTAAACCAATTAAAATTAATTTTTTCTTGTTATTTTACTATTTCAATCGTCATTTTTAAATTATTCTCTCAAAAATAAGACTCATTTTATCTCTAATGATCAAAAAATCAATTATCTAAATCTCTACTAAACAAACACATAAATTCTTCATAATGCGTAGAACGTGCGTAAATCAGCTTGCCAAATTTGAAATAAAAGGATGAATATAGATACAGTCAAAAAGCAGGAATCGCGTTCAAACGCGATTGTCTCATTCTAGAGAGACCCAAATCACACGTCACCATAAGAAAAGTATGCCCAATCAACAATTTTAAAATTCCTACCAGACACAAGCTACCCTGTTTAAACTCTGACTTTCTTCCAACTTCCACATACAAATTCATTAAGGGTAATTGACACAAAACGTCCCTACCTTTCAAGTTTATTGTAGAAAACGTCCCTACCTTTCATTTTTTGGCATTTTTGCCCTCATTTCAACCTTTCTTTGCGCTGGACGTCCTTCCGTCCATATTCCGTCAGTTTTTCCGTTAAACATTCGGGTAATTGGCACAAAACGTCCCTACCTTTCAAGTCTATTGTGAAAAACGTCCCTACCTTTCATTTTTTGGCATTTTTGCCCTCATTTCAACATTTCTTTGCGCTGGACGTCCTTCCGTCCATATTCCGTCAGTTTTTTCGTTAATTAAATACAAAAATATCTTTTTCTTTCCATAAACAAGGGTAAAATTGTCCTCACCCACTTCACCCCTTTTTCCCGCCATCAACTTAGTCCATAAGTAACAGTAGCAGCAACATGAATCTGAAAATACTTTAAATGATTAAGTTAAATAAAGAAAAAATATCGTGAACACATTATATTTCA